TGAAAAAGGGGAATGTTTCTTTTATTGATTGTTAGTAGTCTCTTTTGTCGCGTTAATAAACCATTAAATAAAAAATTGATATTCAGAATATTGAATGCGGATCACATCCGCTTTCAGGTAGCCTTTCCTTTGAATACAAGTTTATTGTAGTACAAACATATACACACTCAGTGATCTTGGTGATTTACCTAGCGAGTGGAAAACTTTTAAAAGTCGACAAAATCCTAGCGCTGACTTTTTTGGGACTTGGAAGGATTCAATACGGCGTTTTTCGATTTAGTGAGTTTTTGCTCGATGGATTGTTTACAACTCCCGTGTATTTAGAAGAAGCCGTTTGAACTCAGCGTTTTCTAAGAAGAAAATTTTGGCTCAAAAATCGAAGTTTATTTATGACAAACAAATTTAAAAGGAAATGATTGCAGAAATTCTACGTTTCAAGTTAACGGGAAAAAAACATACAGGAAGACGACGTTTCGAGCCACATTTTTGTCAGCATTATATACTTTTCTTCTCAGGTAAGGAAACAGTTCAAACTTTTAACGCTGTTGTTTGCGAAATGATAAAATGAAAATTCTACAAAGATCTATTTTTTTACGCGTGGGGAATGTCGCTTGATATTCAGCGGATCTCGATTTCAAAGAATAATTGTTAAATATTATATAATTATGAAAAATTTTAGGGGGAATGTCGCTTGATATTCAGCGGATCACATCCCTGGCTTTCTTGCGTGTAGTACAAACATTTCGATAAGCTTAATCTTTATCTTAAACAGCAACATTGCCCTTGTCTTTGAAACTGAAATGCTAAATTGAACTGCGAAAGAAGAATCACTGCAGAGAGTCGGTAGGTTTTTCATTTAGAGACGCGTTGTGGTTTCGGCGGCCGGTGATTTTGTTTACGCAAAGTTTTCCGAGATCAATGTTATAATTCGACCTTCTTGCTATTTTCACCGTCAAGTGTAATGATTCTGTTCGCTTTTCTCTCTTGTTTCCTTGTTTTTTTCTTCGTTAAGGACCAAATAGTTTCTTTTCAATTAAAGCAAATCATTGTGTTTTTGAATTAAGTGTTCTGTGGGTGTGTTTATTTCATTGCGTGATTGCGACCGAGTTTGATTATAGAGTTCAGAGTTGTATTGCTTGCAGTTGATAGTTTGAAAGTTAAACATGAATTAGGATCGAAAAAAATAAAGCAATTCTGTATCATGCAGACATTTCCAAATGATATTTCTCGGTTTGCCACTTGAAAATCGTGTTTTACTTTTTGCATGAATTAAAGCAAAGGTCAAGGAGCCCTCGATGATTTCTGAAGAGAAAACAGTGGGCCTGTGAACAGGCACACTGTCAAGGTCACTGTCAAGGTCAAGGAGTAATGACGTCACTGGATGAAATTAACGGCCGGTCAATTCAGACATTACTGAGGGATTAATAACGACTCGAAATAAGCGGATGAAATTCAGGCTATATTCTTCATTCTTAAGCCAACTTCAAGTATACAAAACAACAAAAATATATAGAGTGCATATTCTTCGTTGTTTAGCCAAGGACATGAAACTGTTTACACCTCGACTGAAAACACTTGTATCGAAATGTCCTGTATCAAAACGACCAGTAACCCTCATACCGTTTTTGTTCTAAAGGCATCAAAACAAGACAATACAATATCAATTTGGAGTCTTACCCCTGCTGGTACATATATGTTTTACAAAAATAAAAAAATTATGCGAGTAATAACTAAAGATAACTGCACATGGATATCTGACTGAATTTATGCAACCATGGGTTCAATGAGTCTCTACTAGTGGTACCCAGGATTCACCCTCCCCACCCAAGACACTACATTGTAACATAGCTCTAATGTAATAATTTACGGTGCGAGATTGTTGAATGCAACATATTACATAAGAGCTATGTTAACAATGTACGAAGATTTTAAATAAGGAATAAGCTGAATACCATGAAATACTCTTTCTTTAGAAAAATTTTCTAAAGAAAGAGTATAAGACCCTATTCAAGACCCTATAGTCTAACTTGGGAAAATGCAGGTTCATACTTGCGATACTTTCTGAAGAAGAAGATCCTCACTACTTAAAAAAAATTTTAGCAGTTGTGTAATCTCAAAACTAGCTGATCTCACCCCTTCCATACCATCATTGATTTCAGTTTCTTTGCGAGCCCTTGGGGAAAGGTTTTGGCCCAACCTGCCCTCCTCTATGGTAAATTCAGACATAAAGACAGGCATTTGTTTTACTGTAATTATTCATGCAACTTTACACACGTATGGATTCTTCCATGCCTACTAAGGCTTCCTACAACACTAAAACACTTGCCACACTGTTTACATTCATGAGACTTTTCCCAAGTGTGGACTTTTTCATGGGCTCTAAGACTTCCTTCATGGCGAAACACCTTTCCACACTGTTTACAATCATAAGGCTTTTCCCCAGTATGGACTCTTTCATGGATTCTTAGATTTGCTACCTGGCTATAACACTTGCCACATTGTTTACATTCATAAGGCTTTTCCCCAGTGTGACTTCGTTCATGACGTCTTAGTCGTACTGCTTCAGTAAAGCACTTGTCACACTGTTTACATCCGTAGGGCTTTTCCCCAGTGCGATTTCTTCCATGGACTCTTAGGCATCCTGCTTGGCTAAAACAATAGTCACAATATTTACATTTGTAAGGCTTTTCTCCAGTGTGAACTCTTTCGTGCTTCAATAGGGTTGACGCATCAATAAAACATTTGCTACACTGCTTACATTCATAAGGCTTTTCCCCAGTGTGAACTCTTTCATGACGCTTTAGGTCAGTGTTAGGATGAGTGAGCAATTATTGTGCAGTTGCGATGGGTTTTGTGAAGCAGGCGAGCAAGAAACCCCAGCACACGTTACCTGCAGATTAGCCGATGGCAATTGGGAGCGGATTCGTTGATTATTGTCGAATTTATAGCGCTTCGCGTGAAGGTGCGTGGAGATGGTCCGTTTGTTTTGTAGCCAGCCTTTAATATTCCTCTTTAGTGGATAGTACCTACCGGTAAACTTTATTGCAAAACTCAACAAAATGCCACTTTAACCGGCCAGGAAAGACAAGGATATGTTCAGTTAAAGGTATCTTAGCTTTGTTTTGTTATATTTTGACTTTTGGACTATTTTAGTCCATAGGAGTTTCGATGACTTGTCCTATTTTGTCTGTGTGAATATTAATACCTTCATTCAGTGACACATATATGTACTATGTCTGGGTCGCCTCAACATGCCCACCCCCCCGGGCATACCCCGGGCATTTGACACCTTTGCCGTCCCGGGGAGGAGGGAATTTGATTATCAGAGTCTTCCAGGGGGTGGGGAATTTGATCCCCATGCTTTAGGGGTGGGGAATTTGAACTGCACCATCGATTTCATGTAAAATCTTTGGCGTGGCGAGCTATCATGGGGGACGCGGTGTTAGAGGATTTTAGTGAAAAAGATTGCGCCTTTGTGGCCAATTGGTTGCGAGGAAAGGGCTTAAACAAGCTTTGTGTCGTATTTGAAGTATTTAAATTTTAAAATTTTTAATATTGGATTCAGGCTTTGAATGTATTTCATTGTTGCGTTTACAATGAAATACAATACCTATATCGGCAATTCAATACAACAACATAAAATAAAAAGCTCAGGTCAACTACTTGCTGCAAGTATGTTAATTAATAAGGTGAACGATGATGCATGTCAGTGAAATGGTCATGATGTAGTAATCTCAATAGGTGGGATCTTTTTTTATGGAATGCTTTGTATGTTGCATGACGAAGAAAAGCTGAGCATTCAGTGACCCTGTAGCAGCGATTTCCGCCGCTTTGCACGAGACGTTTGTTCGTAGTAAATACGCTAACAGTGTTTCTCAGTTTTTGTTATATTTATAAATATTTTGTTTGACAACTGAAGGTGTTTCCGCCGTCCTTCTGTCATTTTTGTGCTTGTGAAATGTCCCTGATCACCTGAATGGACCCTAGTGTGGGGCCTTTGAACGGCATTTTGTCCCGGGTAGGGGGGAATTTGAACAATAATTTTCAAAAAAGTCAAATGCCCGGCTGGTTGCCCGGGGGGGGCATGTTGAAGCTTCGATTTGACCGGTACATTATAACCCAATAAAACAACAAGAGAACGAAGTTTCGGTAAATTTTCAGGCCAAAAAATTCATGCTTTTCTGGGATTCTAAGCACTTTTTTCGGAGAGTTTATGCAGAAACACTGTAAAACGAGGGAGCTTGTGAGTTGAGTCGGTTTGGGCTCGAGTAGACCAATAAACCATTGGAAATGATAAATGAACTTTTGGCTCGATGTATATGAGCGCAAGGGTGATAAGAGAGCACTGGGAATTATTAACGTTAGGAAGAAATTTCAGTTTCATACCTTTTGTAGAGAACAATCAGCTGAGACCATTCGCAACTCGTATTACTGAGGCCTTGTTAGGGGTAAATTCCGACAAGCGACATGGCCTTGAACCAGCGACATGAGAGCCACGAACTGGCGACGACCGACAGACTATTGCAACGAATTAGCGAAAGCGACACCAATGTCAAGACAGACCGACAGCGAATTTGAGAATTGTCCTGCAAAACATTTGCGCGTACACTATTCGGTAGTAATTACTTTATAATCATCAATAATGGCTAATAAGGGTCCAATAAAGGCAAACAGAAATACGTCTCATTTTACTGCTATTTTGATTGTTCATTTCATTTGATTGACGTGTTCAGTGCATCACTCCCTTTGAGGACTTTGCCGCTTCGCTTATCATGTTCTCCTTCTTACATGACCCACGTGCGCGCTCCATCAACCTGTTAGAGAGATTTTTTTTCTTTATCGATCGCGTTCATCTCGGTGTCCCAGATGGTAAGCGAGTTATTGAAATACATCACTATCAGAGTCATCAGCGAGTCGTCGGAGTGCCGTTGACGGCATCAACGGCATGGGAAAATACAAAAAACACAAAAAGGGAAAGAAAAAGCGAGAAAGCGAGTCCATTGAGAGATTTTCTGAAAGACGTCAACCCAGGGTTCAACAGCTTTCTCAAACTGGTCGCCACTTTGAGAGAACTTTTGGAGAACTTTTTGAGCCAAATGCCCTCCAGAAATGACATGCCAACTGCCTTGGAGTTTGCATATCTATTTGCGCCCACCATTCGCGAGTCATTGAAAAAACTCACTGACATTGGCTTTGTCTACTACACTTCCCTACACTCTTATTGTGAAGTACCAGATGAGATGAAACTCCCGTTTCGAGACCTGCCTTCTTTGTCTGTTCCATCGTCAGTAGAAATGGCAAAAGATGGCCAGAGGTTGATGAGAGACTGGAGGGACAGCTTTGGTAAACAGGTCCGTCAACTGACCGTTCAAAATCAAAGTACCAAGGACAATGTAGGTACACTTCCATTGTTCGCATACATAACACCAGATCAGCCTCCAAGACCATTAGATTTTTCCACCACAGACGACCTCACAGCTAGAGAAACAGTGGTCACAGCGATTGAGCAGCAAGCTGTCAGAGGAGCCATTTTATTTGAGGCCAACAGTGTTGTGGTCGTCAAGTACGACCACATACGTGGATACCCGAACAGGGGACCCTTCTTTGTTGGAATTGTCGTAGCTGATGTCACCGACAAGGCAGAGAATTCTTTTTGTGATGTTGAGTTGTTTGTTTCTGCATTTGAAGACTGTCTGCTGTTTACGCACGAATTCACCGAGATGCTATCGTCAGTAAAGTGGGGGAAGAGCATTTTGAAAAAGGGTGCGATTTTGTGAAATTGACAGAGGTATCATACGAGGCATTTCTTCGATACCAAAATGACGTGGAAGACCTTTTGCCAGACAAAGAAGGCGGTGAAGAGGACAGCGACCTCGACTCTGATGATGATGAGAACCCAGCAGACGTCGTCTTTGGAGGAATGCCACTTCGCACAACATCCGGAAGAACTGTAGTCTGCTACACAGCCGTTTTGGGGAGGAGCGTTGCGTGACGACACTAAAAACGGTTGTGTAGCAGACTAGGAGAACTGACATCCGCCCAAATCGTCTGGACCTTTAGTTCATTTTTCACAGACTTCTTGTAAACGCATGTCTTACAGATAATGAATGGTTGATAATGTCCTTCCTCCTGGGTTGTTATAGTTACGGAAAAGCACACTCTGACAACTAAATCAGAGTTTAACTCGGAAGAATATTAGACTCTTGCACTAAAAGATTTTTAGAAACGTTATGATAGCTCGAGTGTTTTGCCAGATTAGGCCTCGATTCACGCCAAGCCATTTTAAAAACATCTCTACACTTGTCCCGGCATAGTAAATCGAACACAATCGAACTAAATTTCAATCGAACTCAATCGAACTCAATCGGTGGATTGAGTTCGATTGAGTTCGGCAATCGAACGAAATCGAACTCACCGAAAAGAAAAAAAATCAATCGAACCCAATCGAACGTTTGATTTTCGAACTCGTGATTTATGTAAAACAGACGTTGAAAATCCATTACCAGATCGTGGAAGCTCGAGTTACTTCAGCCCTGAGTGTAGCGCACGTGTTTTTCGTAAACGAAGAAATTCCGCAGAAATGGCTTCAGATGCGTTGTGGATCGTAAGCTTCAAATGTATAGTCAAAGGCTACCAGGAATGCCGCTTTGACGTCAAGGATGGCGAAGTTTTCAGGGTTTGTTCTGTTCTCTTCTCTTAACTACCGTGGACAGTTTATAAATGGGGTTTGTGATATTGAATAAATAGTAAAAAAAGCGCACGAAAAACTTGCTTTGACGGGCTTGCTTTGGACTTGCTTTGTATAGGTTCACCAGAGCCAATCGAACGAAATCCATTTAATTGTGTTCGATTGAGTTCGGTTTCCGAACTCAATCGAACACAATCAGACGGATTGAGTTCGATTGAGTTCGATTTGTTCGATTGGATTCGATTTGTTCGGAAATCGAACTCACTGAAAGTGTGGTGTTCGATTTCGTTCGATTGAGTTCGATTTACTATGCCGGGACATGTATAGTTTACTAAATGGAATTTTATTGACTGCAATTACTATTCCAAGTAGTCTGAACGAATATCAAATATTTATAAAGGTCTTAAAACCCTGGGCTTAAAAGTACGAAAGATAGAGGCCGTATGTTCCCTTGGCGTCGTTGCAGCGAATGCGGATTGTCAGACTGGCAACGAGCTAAAAAATTAATGTGTTTATGTTCGGAATTTGCATTTATGGCCGCAGTTTGATCCTCTAGGGATTTTACGTCACATCTCGGTATTTAAGCCTTGTCGCCTCTCGCGTTAGTCACTCGACACAGCCAGTTTTACCGCTCGCACCTTGCCGAGCTTAATTTTTCTAGTATGCTGTTTACGTTTAGTCTCGTAGTTTACAGTGATGTAATTCGTTTTTCTCCGCCACTACTTTATTTCTTGTACGTTAGCTTTTTCTCGTCCCCAATAAACACAACTGGTCGTGTCCTTCCTATTTCTACGTGTTGTTGCCTTTCTGCTGATTAGAACTTAAACGTTTTCTCTGCGGCCGAACGCAGTGACATAGCAGAGAATTATTGAAATTCCGACAGGCGACAGGAGAATGATCCGAAATGGCGACATAGCTGGCTGTGAAATTCAGACGGGGGACACGGGCACCCCCCCTAACAGGGCCTCATTACTAGTAAGCGCCGAGTAAGCGCTTTGGAGCAAAACTCTCGTCTGGGTCTGGGTACGAGATTACGTCTGCCGTTATTGGTTAACACGATAGCACGTGACATACCCCATATTCACTTGTTCACAAATGGCGGAAATTTTGTCTCTGGAATCGGTGGTTGAAAAGACGGGGTTATTATGGAATAATGTGTTTAGGTTTTCCTTTGTCAAGGTAAGCGAATCTTAAATAGTTCACTTCTTAAACCTAAGCGGATTTTTATGGACAATAACTTCATCAATTTTACGCTCCCTCGGTCAACCATTCGAGCATTTGAACTTTTTAATACACTAGTACAGCTATCGTGGGCTTTTTGAAATTCCCGTGACATTACAATGTAGGTCATTATAGTAGTCAAATGCCCCCATCATAGCGCTGGATTTGATTGGCAAATGCACCTCCCAAAGCAGAAATGTTTACTGTTTTCAATCAAGCCAAAAGTTATTGTATTTGTCATTGTGAACGTCTGAATAGCGCTTTCTACTATTACTAAAAATAGGTTTTGTCACCTTAGACCCCTTGCGTGACTCAGACAAACTTTGCATTCTGTCTGCATTCCACTCCAAGGCTTTGTATGGGAAACATACGTTTTTGACACGAAAATTGTTCATAAAATTCGCAGTGAGCGTTTTTAAAATGTTTTTTGAGCATAATTCCAATATAGAAAAGGCACTACTGCTATGGGGAGCAAAACCTGGTCCTTTAACTCAATATTTAGGGTTAAAATCAGAAAGTAAAGCGACTCGAACAAAGAAGGCTACTGAAATCGGATCCCTAGCTCTATGTCTTGGGCAGAAAGCACCGCTATGTATAGCCTGCGAGCAAGCTCTCCTATTTGGGCTTCGCCACTCGCTCACATGTTCTCGCGAGACTCATTTCACTCACCCAAATAGGAGAGCTTGCTTGCAGGGTATGCTATGCACTGAAACATGACATAACGTTATTAGCTGTGTAATACTCCAAAACCGCCATTGCTAAAGAGAAAATCGAGTTTGGATGTGCTTCTCGCAAGCCTGTGACAGAATATCTAAGGTGAAAAGCACACCAACGTTAGCATAAACCGGAAATTGTATAAGTTTGTTCTGTTGTTGTGTGGCCAGGTAGAACATAGAATCTGGGACGAATACTTTAGTACTTTATATCCTGTAGTACTAAGTAGCGTAACATAAGCACTCGAAAAAAAAAAAATTGAGCTACCTTTGCCTATAAATTTGACCAAATGCACCGTTTCACGCACAGCTATGAAGCCCTGCTCTCCACACATTTTAACATAATTTTACCCACAGCATTATGACACCGCATAAGAAATAAAACCACTCATCTGTACAGTTTTTTACCATGTTTAACGCTGTCTTGGCAAGCGTTGATTATTTTCAGGATATTTATTATGGAAACCAAGCTGGATTTTGTTTCCTTTAGCGATAAACATCTTCAAAGACGAAAATTTGTTGCCGAACGTGACTTTCCCATACTAAACTCTTACCCTAGTCAGGTTTAATGTCTGAGTCACAGCAGGGACCAGAAATTTGTGACGTCATTAGTAGAAAGCGCTATAGAGGAGTTCACGCTCATAGTTGCATAATGGGTAATCAGGGCAAGATGGCGGGAAATTAGAAGATTTGTATTAGAATTCTTCCTGAATTCATATATTTGATGCTTCCTCTTTGAAAAGAGTAACTTTCTAGTTCAAAGAAACAATACACTAAATCTGGAGCGTAAAGAAGTCTGTGATCAGTTTTTAGAAAATCTTGATTTTTTCATACATTTTCTTTAACCCTTTAAGTCCCAATAGAGACCAACATCAATTTTCTCATAACAATATCCATAGATTGTCAAGTGCAACATCTATGAGAATTAATCAAATGATCACAAAGAGAAAATCTCTGATCTTTTATCAATTTCTCCCAACTAATTCTGTAAGGAAATGTATAGAGATCAGTTTGGAGAATTTGTTAGTGGATATTGGGACTTAAAGGGTTAATTCGACTGTCAGTGTCAAAATTACAGAAAATGTATGGAAAATTGAAGTTTTTTTAAAAACTGATCACGGCCTTCTTTGCACTCTACACTTAGTTTTTGAAGTTTTCAAAGGTTTCAAAAAATAACTTCTCTGTTTATTAGGTTGGGTTCAATTCATAACAGTAGGTTGATGCACAAGCATAAGACAACAGCGTCTAAAATCTAAATTGCTCACAGATCGCTTCAGCACAAACCGTGTTATGCCATTTTTGCAATTCTTACTATTTAGCTAGATTTAAGATGATTGTTTTGTTTGTCTTTTTCTATACTGGGTGCCAACTTTATGGAATTGGCCACCACTTTAAATTACAAAGTTGATAAGTGGTTCCTACAAAAAAGAGTTGATAGGGAATTTAAGACTAGGGTTAACAGCTACGGCTACAAGTTCATGGGATCTGGGTTGAGCTTTTTTGCGCATGCGTAAAAGTTATGTTTTTAATTGTTTATTTGCTTATTGTTAAAAATTATGTTCACTTTTTTCATAGGGCCACTACCTCGGCTGTCGTGGCGAGAAACAACAAGTAAGCTTGTTAAGCTTAAATAATATCTGTTTAACCTTATGTGCCTTGAGGGCATCGAAAATATTCTGTGACCTGTAATGCGTTAACCAATAAAGGGATATCTTCTTTGTCTACTCTAAATTCAGCTCTAGCTTCACTGCTGTCAAAGATATCGAGGCTGAAAGGCTCGTATTCCCAATGAGGAAAATATAAATTTGTGGACTCATACTCTTCGTAAAGAATAAGAAACTCTTCTTCACTGATCACTCCATCAGAAAAAGCGCAAACTAAGGCTTCACGAAGTTCATGAAATTTTTTCACACGATGACCATGGATAAGTGATTCAACCGTAGCACCTTGCTTGTTTACAATCTTAATCTCTTTTTTTTCACGCCAAACGGTTGGT